TTTTCCCTTAGAGAAATGAGAACTCACTTATTTGATAAATAAAACATGATCGTTCAACTTTAAAAAGAAAATCTGAATTTTATTTCAGTCATTTCATAAAACTTGATGGCAAAGCACACAAAAGCACCCTAATACTTTGCAACAAAGCTTTTGATTCTCGTTTATCTTTGCCTTTTTAAGTGAAATATTTCCCTAAATTTAATTCAAAGTAGCTTGATACACATTCTCATATATTTATCTACATACTGTACATTTAAGATATAAACTTTGGATTAAAACAGCACACAAAGAAAAAGCAAGTTTGCCCTCCACTACTACATTAAAACTCGGAACTCCTAACCTACCTTTACTTCTTGCAACAAGAATGTACTAAAATGAGTAATTTTTATTGCTCAGGAATGTAAGATTTCAATTACTCACGATTTCTCTCCATAACTTTTTTTAGACCTTAGGTGTCAATCACTTCAATCAGAATATATTTTTCCTCAAAGTTCTTAAGTGTCTATGTTAGTATCCTTTGTTCTTTGTAGAACCATAAACAGTATCAAGAATTTTCACCATGAATTATCAAAATTCACACTTGGTTTAAATAATCATGAAAGAACCATATAGAAGAGTGAGGTCACACTGTTCCTCAGCTCTGAAGGTTAAACCCTTTCTATTAAGTTCTATAGCCTCCTTGTTATAACACATTAATAAATTTGCTTACTAATGGTCATGTTGGTTTTGTTCAAGAGCTAAGACTGTTAATGGGTGTTCATTTCTCCTCACTTGAGAGATAAAGGCTGAAGTCTGAAACTTTAAGACCAAAAGTTTTCAAAGAACTATCAGTAAATACTGCCTTTACAGTGAACTCAAAGGCATCACCAAATTACCATACCAATTTTCTGTGGGGACAGTATTTGACTTGGACCAGGGCACATTTCCTTCGCGTAACAGATTACAACAGTTAAAGAGCATGTACTCTAGAACCAGACCACCCAGACCCAAACCCTGCCCGTTACTAAAAACTAAAAACCTGAGCATGTTTATTAAGCTGTCACTCTGCGTTCCCATACAATGGAGGTAAGAACAATACCTATTTCATAAGATCTGGGAGATGATTAATAGCTGGCACATCTTGAAAACCATCGCACACTTCGAAAAATATGAGCAAAACAAATTTCTTAGGTAGGTAAAGATAATCACTTTGGGTATTAGCCAAGTGGTAATTAAAACTAAACCCCATAAAATTTCTCAAATCGTTTTTGTACAGACAGCTCACACTTTTTTCCAAGTTAAAACTCTTACTGGTGTTCTAAAAATCCTGATTTTACAAAGATAGCTCTTGCATTAAGCAATACCTAAAGGTGACTCCTGCAACTTATTTTTAAAGAATATACAAAGAATTCTGAAAATGCAGCTTTCCTGTATTACAGGACTTAAGTCTTGCTTAAGCCTATTTTGCACCTGGCTTTGGCATTTAAAAGCCTATAAAGCAGCTGCTGGAGGCAGATTAAAATGAATGGAGAGCTTAAAAACAAATGACCATGCCAGGTCTCTACCCCAGACCAATTAAGTCAGTATCTCTAGAGGTACTGTTCAAGCATCATTATTTTAAGCTCATCATGAGTTAATGTAATGCAATAGTTGCATACCACTAAAAATAAAAAAAAAAATGAAGTTATCTTGATAGTTCTCTGCACTTTCTAAACTTAAAGATGGCTATTATATATAGGAACTGGAAAAAAAGAAACTTTTAAAACAAAAGAAATGTGGTAATAGGAGGGCATCCATAACTAGAAAGAGAAGTGGCCAATCAAGCTTTAAATTATTATAAAATGTTCATAACCTTATGGTGAAAGTGATTGTAAAAATAAAGGTATTTTGCTGTCACTTACGCTTGGTTTTCAATAAACCAGAGAAATGATTAAGTAAAAGAATAGGATACAAAGTTCTACGTAATTTATTATGCTTAAAGAGCATTAATATTATAGGGAAATAAATATCCATAGAAATGGATGCTGCTGGATGTGAGTTTGGTTTTTTTTTTAATAATGTATTTTCCAAATTCTCTAAAATGCACACATTATTTCTACAATCAGAAACATAAGAAGATAAAATTTTCTTTCTCTTAAAGATGGATGTTCAAACTTCTTTGCACCAATCTCCAACAGACTGGGCATTGCCAAGAGGCCACTGTTCCTGCCTAGAAGCATAGCTTCTAACCGTAGGCTATTAAATGTGGAACTAAAAAACCAGTTCCCAATTCTGTATTAAAAGCACTTACCTTCTAGGTCTCCAATCGAGACTGCCATTAGAACTCAAGGCCCAGTCAATGAGTGGCTATTGTTACCTGACAGAATATTAACAAACCATCATTATCTGCTGAAATCAAATTCCTTTTTGTTGTTGTTTTTTGAAAAGGAAAATGACACTTCACCACATTTTAAATCAGTTTATTTATTCACGCAACAGTTTAATTTTTTTGAAAGCTAGAAAATAAAGATCATTTATTTACCTTCTCATTTTGTTTTTCCATACGGTAAACATTGATCTTTCCCTCTCTCCAAAGGTCAATTTTTTTAAATGTATGCACACACCAAAATCACTGAATAGGAATGTGCAAAGCTCTAGGAAAACCATTACTTGAATGTTTTTAAAGTGGCAGAAGATGACAATTTGGGGATATACTCTGCAACAACTATTTTTTTTTTTACTTTATTTATAAAACTTGGTTTTGAAGTGGCATATTTTGAATGATTGCAATCCAAGAGTAAGTCCCACAACAGATATCAATTTTAGAATAAGTCGAGCTAAGATACTTGAAGGAGAAATTAAGAAAATTATTTTTCTTTGATCGGAATTTTTGAATTTGATACATATTTTTTCCAAGTGTCATTTAAGGTAAAACACTCAGAATACAATTCTTAAATTTGTTTCTTGTAAATACAAGAATGGGAAAATTTAAGGTACATATAGAAAAAATGAAGGTAGGTAGTGCATTTAGTGTCACATATGAACTTAAGGCCTTAGTCACTTGATCGTGATTTCAGCATTAGCAACAGTGTATTACCCTCATCCTTACATACACTAGGCAAGCAGGCAGACGAAATTTTCTAAACATGTAAAGAATGGAGACAAACATTTTAATCTATAAATTATCAGTCAATTAATACAGTTGGACTCTTTTAAAGTAATCATTGGTAGTAAAATAATCTGATCACATCTCATACAGCAATTAAAAATAGAAATTAAGTCCCCTATACAATCAGAGCATCTCCTGATATGTAAAGCAGTTAAGTAGCAGCCCATATACACTTTATTTTGCAGATGCTACCCAGACTACAATCTATCTCAAAACCAATCATTACATAATGTATTTTGTAGAATGCCTATCTTAAAATACATTGTATTTCATAGTGTTTATTACCAATATGGGAGCAGGAGAATTTCTAGCCTAAACACTAAAACCAAACATATACATGAAACTATTCAACAGCAGCCTGTAATACAATCTTATGATAGAAAATTTCACAAACTTATTAAATAGCATCTTATGTTAAGTCGTGTCAAATTAAAACAATTTTTTTTTCCTAAAAAGTTACCAGATAAGACACCGAGCTAATCAGGAGAGCAGATTTCTAGGTCCAGCTCTGCCTCTACCTACCTGTGAGACATGGGTAAAGTTCTCTTACCTCCCATAAAGGCCTCAGATTCCTCAACTATAAAACAAAGGGGTTAAACAAAATGAATTCTAAGGAGCATTCCCATAAAACGGGATTTTGCTAAATTTTTAAAAACTTCAATTTAAAAAAAAAAAAAATGATAGCCACGAAATACCAAGCTTGATACTTATCACCAATAATGTAGATTATATAGAGAGCTTTAAGCCAAGGAATTACTGATTCTGCATTTATGGGACAAAAATGCAAGGCTTTTTCTAGCATGCTTTTCCAGTTATCAGAAAGAGGGGGAAATTTTACAATGACTGTAAAGCATACAACAGTGGAAACATACCTGCAGTAGCATGCTAGTAATGGATAGGTGTTACTTCTGTTTTTTTAGTAACTTTTGCACATAAGCAAGAGGTTTTATAAAAGATACCATAGAGCCAATGACACAACACATGTGATCTGACAAATCAAAACATACTTAAAATGAAAAGGCAACCAACATTTCAATCATTTAAAATGTATACACAGACCTGGGCCTAATATACTTCACTGTACCAGATCAAGTCCCAAAGTCCAATTTCCCTTTCAGAAAGAAGTGTATCTTTTACAAAACCAACACCTATTTTCCAGGATCAAAATTCACTTGTATTATACCGTACTCAGTAAAAAAAACTGAATACATTTTCTATGGTTCCAAAATTTTCTATGCTAGTACAAATGAAACAAAGATGTAAGACTAAGTGCAGGAAAGTATCAGATCCTATAATGCATATTTATACTGAAAACGTGTTTCACACGGTTAACACATTTGCAAAGGATAAAGTCATTTTTTACAAAGAAGATTCCCTAGGCTTGCTCAGTAATACAAAATTTCCATAATGGGAATTTAAATGTCAAATTGAGCAGGAAAAAACACCTACTTTTAACTGTTATTATGAAATGGTATAAAGGAATTATCAGGCTGGTTAAAAAGCACTTGACTAGAACAACCAAGGAGAATGAGTCTTCCTTGAAAAGTTACTAAAAGAACCTATTAAAAATGGGGTAAATTAAACACAATAGAGCCATAAGGCATACACATAAACTGACAAAAATTACAGCACTTTTATTCTCACGGTATTTGCTTATATTATCTTGAAGACAAATTGATTATGATCTTCCAAAATACCAAAAGTAGCCTGAAAGTTTTATCAGTTCCTTTCCTTACAGAATGAGCACTTTTACCTACAAATATTGTAATATCTGAAAGGGCAATGCAAGATAAAATTGTGCATTATAAATTTCAAATTATCAGAGTGGACTCCCTGGTATCCCCGTGTGATGACACGACAGACACAAACAAGCTATTGAGCAAGAATCTGTTAACAGTTTTATTTTTTTGTTGTTGTTGTTAAATACCATGGGACAGGATTGTAAGGATGAAAAAAACTCAGTCAACAACTGCCTCACAAGGGATAAGAAAAATTCTGCCATGATATTAGCAAAGGTAAAGGAGAAAATTTACACTGTAAGAGGCACCATTTACCCACAGAATACCTCTTGGCATTTCCTGAATGAGTGGGATTAGCAATCTAAATAAATCATATTTCAAGAGGTAACAGCAACAGATAAAATTTAAAGGGATTATTAAAATAACATTTACAAGACTCTGAACAATTCTTGAACTCTTATTAAAACCACAAAGAAAGAACAATTCTTTATTTATGAATTTCGTAAAGGACTGAATGTGCAACTGACATCTGCTAGTGATGATCTGGTAATATACAATTTGTCCATTAGCCGAACAGTTTGTTTTTACTGTATTTTCTAACTGTAAGAGATCATTAAAGGCAAAGCCTATGACGCTGTACACACAAAAAAAATGGTCACCGTGGGCCATACTACCAATGAAATGGTAGGTAAACAAATCTTTTTCTGGTCAAGAGAAAAAAAAAAAGAAATAGCACTCTGCATGCTTCACTCTACAAGATAAATTTCCCTAGAAAGAATCCAATGAAAATGGCTGCAATTACAACAAGAAGTGAAGGAAGAGGACTGGTGACATTATCTCTGAAGGATGTAGTTGAGGTTGATCCAGGTTTATCCGAATGTGCTACCTTTCTGAGCCTTAAGCCTTCATCCTAGAAAGAAAAAATATGAACAAAAAAGAGGTTTTAAAAACAATAAGGCATATAATAAAACTACTAAGCTAAAATTCTATAGGCAGAAAGCAGATCTGCATGCATGTGATTGGGGATGGGAGTAGGTATTAACTGCTAACCAGCATAAGAATACTTTCTAGGATGATGCAAACATTCTAAAACTGGATTCTAGTGATGGCTGCACAATTCTATACATTTACTAAAAATCACTGAACTATATGCTCACAATGAGTATCTTCATAGAAAATGTAAATTATATCTCAATAATGATGACATTAAAAACCGGAGCTGAGAAAGATACTCCTAAAACACTGAAAAATCAGATATGACTACATTTATATAGAAGGAAAAATCCCATTAAATACAATTAAAGAGTTCCATGCATGCACTTACTTCCAAGGTGGCCCAAAGTATTTTTACACTGGTTGCCACCTGTCTAAGCCCCATCAGCCAAAGACTACCAGAAACAAATCTGTAGTCTGACAGCTTTACTGACTCACTCACTGCAACCAGGGCACCCAAACACAAGAGGCACAGGGAGTATCTCACCAAAGGAAAAGATAGGACTTTATAGGATTTTGGGAAAGGAGGAAATTCAGGATTAAATTTAAATAATGCAGTTCCTTGACATGCTCAAAGTAAAGCAGGAGGTCTGTGTGTAAAACGTTCAGCATTGGGTCTGAACTGCAAAGCAGACACAAAATCCTGTTCTTTTGGAAACTACAAATTACAACAGATGTTGGAATGTTGTATACAGAAACACCTCATCTTAAGTTCTGCACCTGGACTAAAAAAGGGAGGCTGCTTCTCTGCGCCAAAGTGACTCAAATGTTCCATACCAGAGTAGGCTGCTTCATTCTTACTGATATGATGGTTTCCATGTAGCAAAGTTTCTGACTGTCTATGATTTTAGGGAACAATGTTTCTAAGTAAGAAAGCAGTAGGAGGTTGTTATGACACTTTACCAGCTGCAGTATGACCCTAGAAAAAATATTGATTATCTGTATCTGTTAGCTAGGCAGTTTGCTTTATTTGTGTCCAACATCCCAACCAGTTGAATGGCAGGGCACATTTTTATTTCCTCAGTGCAAGCTAATTTTTATTTCCTTACACTGATTCTTCTAGTGTGCTTATTAATACCAAGTAAAAGAGTCCATAGCGCTTTATTTGCATTACTGGATTTTCTGAGGGTTTTATGAGTCTTTTCGGTCTTATGCTAATCAGTCCTGTGTGCAGAGAGTAGTGATTCTAAAGCAAGAACTTCAAAAAATACTTCTAGTGACTCTCATTCACTAGGTCTAGGGAGGGCCTGACCAAGTATATTTTTATAAAGCTCTCTGGGGAGATTCAGATAGACAGTGGATTAAAAGACAGAGGGGCAGTGATCAGACATGCTCAAAAAAGACAGAGGGGCAGTGATCAGACATGCTCAAAAAAGTTGATCTGGCAACAAATTATGATGGGTCCTGAAATTGATTCTATAAGCCAGTGGCCTTTTGTTTTAACTTTTAAACAGCAGAATGCTTTTTTAACGACTCTTAGAGAACATCAGTCTATAAAGAGTAGAGACCAGGAGTTAAGTCTCACTCACCTATCTCCCTGTTCACTCTTCCTATTTTCCAGCCCTGCCCTATTTGTGTCACTCCTACCATTTCCACTTCTCCGCTCCCTGCCAAGAAATAAAGTGGTTTTTCTGAACAAATACACTGAGCATGCTAAGGAGGACATCTTTCATCAAAGAACACGCTGTGCAAATCAGCCAATAAAGTAAAAGTAACAAAGAACTGCATCGTTTAAAATCCATGGTATGTGGGTATAAAATGGAGATATTCTTTCTACTGGGGGCAGGGGGCTTCTGAGGGGGTATTAAGGAATATGAAGAAATAGCCAGAAAAATTATTTCAGAACAGATCAATTCAAGATATAGGGCCTTTGATTCAGAGTGTAGTTCCTATGTACATTTAAGACAGAATAACCAAATGCAGATTAAGTCCCATAAATGAGCTTCTTTTACCTATATATATATTTTATCTACATTGATACAAAAAACTGCCTTAGAAAGCAATTTAAAGGTATTCAGATCCTGATACTTGTCAAAGTCTAATTATTAATAACTTCCACACATATTCAAATTAGTCCTCAATTCACCAGTCCGTCCATCCGTCCGTCCATCCATCGATTCATGTATACACACACACACACACACACACACACACACAAATAACTACTGTATGTGTGTGCTATAAATGCAAAGATGAATGAACACAGCCCTTACCCCCAAGGAAACCACTGCCCACTAGAGGGAGAAACACTTCCAACAAATTAGAGGCATGGTGGAAACAAAGGAGACAGCATTCCAAAACAATTTTTCTTTTCTTTTTGTGGGGAATAGTGTCCTACAAAAGGTTATGCTGAAAAGATGCCAAGAACCAAGGTCCAAGAGATGAATGTGCATGTATGTACGTGCTATGAGAGTAGGGAAAAGAATTCAAGGCAACGAAGAGAACTTAAGCTAAAGCAAAAGAGGGTGATAAAACAGAAAGGCTTCTTCAGGATACTATAGCCAACGCTATCCAATACAAACGTAATATGATCTTCGAATATGAGCTACATGTGTAATTTTTAAATTTTCTAAAAGCATACTAAAAAGGTAGAAAATTGGCAAAATTAATTTTAATATATTGTATTCATTCTTATAACCAAAACATTATTTCAATATGTAACAAACAATACAAAAAAAGATACTTTACTCTTTTTGTACTAAGTCTAAGAAATCAGTGTTTATTTTACACTCGCAGCACATTTCAATTCAAACCAACCACATTTCAAGTGCACAATAGCCCCATATTACTAGTGGCTGGCTACCCTATGGGATAATACCATTCTAGGCACTTCATATGACTAGGGCACAGAACGTGAAGGGTGAAAACAAGAGAGGAAGCTAGCAATGCCACAAGCCACATCACAAATAACTAGGATGTCTGCTAGGAAAAAAACCTGCAGGCAATAAGCCATAGTAAAACTGTAAAAAGAGGTTGGGAGTGGGGAGCAAAGGACAGAACATAAATCAATCGACTGGGGAAAATGAGAAAGAAATGACCAAAGATACATTTAAAAACTAATAAAATAGCCCAGTAATAGTCACATATCCTATGCCTCCGTTTAAATCAACTAATTTTCAAAAAACAACTTACTCTCAGGTGTCGATTTTCTTCTGATAGCTTCATCATTTCTCCCTGAAGTCTTTTACACTCTTCCATGAGTTTCCTTGTTTCAGTATCATTGAGTGAAACACTATGCGGTTTTGGCATGGGTCCATCTTGTTTTGATGCATTCAGTGGAACAGCTTTGCTAGGTTCCATATCATTCTGTATTACAAAGACAGTGGGAATTTTTTAACTGACCAAATGTTACAGATTTTAAACATTTAAATTACACATCCTTCTTTTCAAAAAAAAGTTACTTGAAAGTTTTGACAATTTTCGATTTCACTAATAAGGAATTTTTTAATACCAAGTGTTATGGTCATCTGTGAACAATTTTACAAAGGCTAAATCAGCAATTAGATAAACAAAATAAGAAGCCCGTTTCCTCCTCTTTCCCATAACCCTTTGCACTTACCTCTACCAAAGCACTTCTCATATATCATAATAATGTATTTTTGATGTTCTTTCCTATAATACTTCAAAGGCTGGGATAGCAAGAGTCATTTCTCTTTGTATTTACCCCTTAACCCATCACAATGGCCAAGTTATTCAATGAAAGTATGCTAAATGATTGACGCCAACCAAAATCCAAATGTGAAGGTAATTTTCAGTGCTCTGATTCTGCAATCAAATGAGGTTCCAGGAGGGTAGGGGGGATATTATCATAATCCTTCCAGCAAAATTACGAGACTATTTAAGAAAAACATTTAAAATAAAACCTAATTTCTAGAACAAGAAAAAAATAACTGAAGGATATAAATACTGAAGGAGAGAGGAGATAATGAACACAAATATATCATTGCAAAAAAAAAAAAAAGAGGAAAGGGAGTTAATTCCATGACCTCAAACTCAAACATAAATGATTCTTTCAAATAATTAGTATCACTGTTTGCTTTAATTCATGAAATTCAATATGGAATCATGGTACTGAGACACTTTTAAAAACCACAAGCCCCCAAAATCTTAATTCTTACCAACACTTTACCCATTTGAAACTAGTGGCAAAAGCACGGAAACAAATAGCTAGGGCAGCACCTAATTACTCGTGAGCCTGTAATCTAAAGTGCCTCAGTACCCTTTCAGCCTAACATCATTTATCCCATCACACATAACAGTATTAGTGCAACAGGTCATTATTTTAATTAAAATTTTACTTGCCAAAAACTTTTAGATTAAAAAAAAAAAAAAAACTGCTTTATTCAGATGTAAACTTCTAACAAAAACATTTCCAAATCAACTTTAAGGCATTCCAAAGTACACAATATTTTAATTACAGATTATACACCTTTCACATCATCCAGCTCCCAAATTTATATAAAGTGTAAACATTTTATTCAAGGGGCAAAACCAGTCATCTTCTTATGGAGGGGATGTGATTTCATCATTATACCTAAATCCACATAAAAATTAATTTTATGAGGTTCTAAGGTACAACAACTATACATCTGACCTGTTAACATTCGAATTTTTTCCATTTTTCTTTAGAAGCTTCACATTGTGAAGTTGTTGAGAAGCCTACTTCAATTTTCTTCTCTGAGTTTTTCTCTTGCTAATTCTTGTTTTTCACCCGATCCTCCCCTGTCCCCAAACAATCCGATCTCTATCATTAAAAATCTGTTTCAGATATATTTTGCTCTCCACCAATATTGTTTCCCATTTTTTTCCTTAATACTAATTAGATTTCAAAATGATTTTTCAAGTGTGTTCAAATTCCAACCTAGAACCAGTCCAAGTCCTCAAAATGAGGGTGGTACATTGCCTTCCTCTGTAAAAACAAAGGTAATAGTCAACAATATGACAACTGCGGAACCTTTTAGGTTTTGGTTAAGAACTGCAGGAAAAAATATGCTCATACCAAAAAGTTGACTAAGAAATCAGGAGATACATGAGGCCACTTAAGTGAAAAGAAAAAACTAAAATGAGGAAACATCAAACTGTTCAAAATTGGATTTTTATTTTTAAATAAATTCTTGAAATTCCAGAAAATTTAGAATTATGAGGGGAGAGGAAATTACTTCCCATTATCTCATCAACCCAACTTTTATATGTTATCTTCCAATATTTTAAATATTCATATTTTGTAAAATCAGCATACATGTAACATTTTTATCTTTATATGTATCTTTTAATTATCACTTTAAATGACACAATATGTCATTAAATATTCTATTCTGTACCTCACTAAAATTATTAAAACATTTCACTCTTGTTAGACATCTGATAGATAGCTTCCCACTCTTTGGGATTTAAGCAATATGTCAATGAATATCTCTTACAATGGCAGAACTAGATTTTTTTTTAATTGAAATTTTTCTTAATGTTGTAATACCACTTTTATAACAAAAAGGAAAGGAAATGTCATACCAATTTGTGGAGCATAAACAGAAGACTAGAATGAAAAAGATACAGTGAAGCTTAAACACATTTCAAAAGTGAGCCAAATCATGAAACAAGTTACATGGAGTACAGTTATATTATGCACTGTTCAGGTCCCCTAAAAACCAGTCAACATACATAAGAGATGCAAAGAAATCTAATTTATTTATATATAATTAAAGTATAAGCATATATAACCTAACTTAGTTGAGGGTTAAAAAGAGGGGGATGAGGGGACTGAGTCACTCGTGTAGTAACAATCTGAAGAGCCTTATGGGAAACACTAAGGCTGCTGTGACCTTAAGCACATGCTTCCATTCAGGAGCTCCATTAGTGAGGTTTGGCTCCTGGAAAACAGCTTGTTCCTTGAGAGTTGCTTCATACTGGTCCAGAAAGAGGAGACTGGTTGTTCTGAGAACCGTGAAACAAGCAAACTAGAGGGATTCAACATGCTGTGACTCTTAGAAAATGGATGAATTGTAACATTACATTAAGATTATATTTAACACTGCAACTTAGAATACACTGAAAGACCAGCGCCATGATATCAATCAAGAAAATATACCATACCTTGTACTATTTCCACTATTTCATATTATTTAGCCTATCTGCAGTAATCCCTCTCCATCTATGAGTTGAATTTACTTCTGTATTCTTTTTAAACAATCTTCAGAATTTCAATTCCAACATTCTAAGTTATTCCTATTGGGGGTAATTAGACAAAGAGAAAGCTAGGGATTGGAAATAGAAAGGGAAAAGTAAAATAGAAAGGGAAAAGCAATGAAGCCTTGGGGAGGTTGGGGGAGCTAAAGAACGCAAATATGGGGCTACATTCTTGTGACATTACAGGGAAGGGGTTAATATATAAATAAAAAACTAAAAGACTAAAGCCAAGAGCTATGGCATGAAATTGCCAGAGGCATAATTAAGCCCTAACCTATGAAAAGATATTATCTGAATAATGTTACTGAAGATTTATTTTCACTCTAAAACAAGCAATTTACTGTTTCTCTTGGATCATATTCCCAGAATAACTAAAGTCACAAAATCAAAAAGTATTAGATATTTAGAAAAAGGGTGAGATTTTTTTAACCCCTCTCTGAAAAGCCAAATCATAAGCATAAGCAACCTGTTCAAACTGCGGGGTTCTTGAAGTTTCCAGTGAGCAAGAAATGGTAAAGGGAATCATACAGTAACCATTATACCATCATTCTCATAAGTCGCCATTATCTTACTGCTGTGCTGTCACTGTTCTTGAGTGAATGTTAAGTATGTACATGTATACATGCATACACACACGCACACAAAAACATTAATAATTTCAAATATGATTTAAGATCTTTAAGGGCTTATAGCACAAACTCTCCTACCCTGGGGTCATTGTAAATAACCAACAATGACAGTTAAAGGGGTGACTATTATTTGCATTTGATAACAAAACATAAAATAGTAATTTCACCTATCTTTTTTAATATATATATATAAACACAAATACTTGCCTGGAAATCAATGTTTGCCAGCTTCTACCTTTACTGCTATGCCTGCGGGTCTATTCAGACACATTCCTAACTCCCTCTTTAGAGTATGCTTGCAAAGTCTCAGTGACAGAATAAATTATACCAATTTCATTACAATGTTCAAACTTACATTTGTCCTCAATTTTGAGATTTTGTTAAGTATTAAATGTTTTTTTACAACAGAAAAGTTTATGTGCATGATTTTTAAGTGATTTGTGGTTCTACTGTAATTCTGAACATAGCTGAAAATTTCAATTCTTTTTATTTCACATGACACTCACAATACCATGTATGTGCTAGGCAACTACATTAACATAACCAGTAACACTAGTAGACTCCTATGTCTGTTAGCTTCCTAAAACAAACCTTCTGCTTCTCCTGTTTGAACACATTGAGTCCCCTGGGGTCATTCTTCATGTTATAACTGGCAGGAGTTGCAACTGTGTTGTTGATGCTGCTCATTGAAGTGACAGCCGGAGCAGTCCCTGGTGAAGTTATACCCTGAGGTGGCATGGGAAACATATTCTCAGATTCGCACCAAACTCTGAGTTCTCCTGCACGGTACTGGGAATGACTAACACAGAAATCATTAGACTCTAAAACATTTACATTTTATTCTATATATAAGAAATGATATTAATAAATAATAGCTCTATTCAAGCAAAAAGTACAAAATTTCTGAACTTTTTATATTATTTCCCAAAATTAGCTATGATCATCTTGCATTATATATAAACCTATATCTTCCAAATTAAATATAAACCTAATTAAATTTATGCTAGCCTCATGTTGTCCAAAAATGAAAACCTTATAACTTTGTTACTCTTAATTTTTGCTACTAATCTACTCTTGAACAAGCACTTTGTATTTTCTTAACTTTAATAACTCAACCTGAATAAATGAACTTTTTTCTCCTTGAGGTTCAAAAACTACATTTATAAACCTTTCTTGTACTAAACAACACCCTCCCCAAAACACACACACACACACTTCTCCCAGGACCAATAAACAAATTTAAAGATGCATGTAACATTCCAATATGCCATTATCTCCATCATTCTCTTCCTACCTTCCAAATTCCTCTAATTCAGATAAAACTTTTACACAAAAATGTTGAGACAGACTCTAAAATAATATTTACTGATATCCAGATCATTCTATATAACTAAGAGAACTCTATCTTACTTATCAGTGCACTGTCCCTAATCTGTTGTCTCAATAAAAAAGGGTATATTTAATCATAAAAAGTCTCTATACATAAGACTCCTGAAATGCCCTGTTCTTGACAGCCCTTCATTCTTAAAATGAATCATTATTTTCTCCTAGAAAATAGGTCATTAATAGATGTTATATGTAGGGCATAAATGAAACCAAATACATTTTAAAAATCTGGAAAATATCAAGAAGAGTTGGAGGCCTCAAAAAAAAAAAAAGAATTTTAAAATAATTTTTAAAAACTGCAGTACTAAAGATTTTTCTTTCAAAAAAATTTAATTGAACACAAAAAGTTGAATGTGATAAAACATAAATAACAAGTTAATTAAAATCACATTCACTCCTGAATAAACACTACCACTAACTGTACCTTAGATTTCATAATACTAAGTTTATAATAACTAAAAAGAGCTAATAATTCAGAAAAACCCACTCTGTAAAATATAGTCAGTGCTTTAGTATCATCTGCCTACAACTATCAACAACCCAGGAATGTGCTGAATGGCTCTCAGTATTCACACTAAACACAACTCAGCCAAACTCTATTGGCCATTAATATACTAAAATATATCCAGTCAAAGACCTGCTGTTCCCTAGGACTGGGGAGACCACACATTTTAGTGTGCCTAACGGCAGTATTAGCTAATGCCTGTTGTCCAGAAATAATTATTAAGTAGTACCTCCTTTAATTCTAAAATAACAAGGTTTCTGGATTCCTGTGTCACTCTATCTGTGATCCAAATTAGACAGCTATTTCCTAAAAAGAAGCCCATATTCTAATGGTTCAAATAAATTAAAACTGTTGTCATGAAAAATTACTTCTTTAAACTATAAAAATAAAAACATAAGACTCAACCACTATACTTCTAAAGCTGGCACTATCCTTACCGTACAAGATTGACCACAAAACTTCAACCATTTTCTTATTTGTATAATTAGTATCAAGGTCCTAAAAGAATTAAAGAAACCAAACAATAACATCTTTTTCTCACTGTTTTTAGAACACATAAATGCCCAAGAACACCATACTTAAAAAGATCCAGATCCTCAAACAGATGAGGTATATATTTACATTATGTACTTAAATCAAATATGTTTACTTTTGGGGGGGGAGGGGGGTACCAGTGAGGAGCTGCAGGTAGGAGTTTGAGAGGGGGATAGGGTGCTTAACATAAAAAAAAAAAAAAAAAAAAATCAACATCAGAAAGTCTAAGACATGCCTGCTATATCAACTTTGAGAACAAAGTATCAACGACTATGATAGCTACTGTGCAATCTATCAGCTTTGGGTACTAACCAAATTTTTCTAAGTTGACTACTAAAGATCATAAATTCTGACAAACAACTCTTTAAATTGTGCTTCAATTAATATAGTTTACGATGTATGAACAAATAAACAAAAGGTCAAATGATCTTAAGTAATTCATTATAAAGCAATCGTAATTACAAACTAAAAAAATCGATTTCGTACTCTGTACTTTTAAACATGTATTACCAACATAGTTTTCATTATATTTTTTGTTCATCTCTCACATTTAGAAATTCATTTTCCTTGAATAAGGGAATATCACTTTTAATCAATTTGTGTAAGTCAGAATCCAGCTTCGTCCAGCATTTTATCAATTTATCAGTCAACAAATTTTATCTAGATAAAACACTATCCAATAATGCCCTAACTTCCTAACTGATAAGTTTCACACTAAACTGAAGATAAACATACAGAAAAGGGATATTAAGTAATCTTGTAATTTTACCTATGCTAGATAAACGCTAAATGATTTCTATCAAAATTTCTAGCTGGGTGCTAAAAAGAAACCAGTATGTCAAAAATACTATGGTTTTTAAGCAATTTTATCAACTTCAACTATAGACAACACTGAACTGGAAATGGCAAGATACAATTATCAACAGGGTCTAGTTTCCACATGAATAATTACAAAAAAGGTGTTTTACATGTATTTATATATATAGTTTTCATCCTTAATTATAATAAACAAAAACTTTATTATATATTTGTACTATTATACACAATCCAGATTTGGCTATATTGAGGTTTCATATTTTCTAAAAAGGATGAATTGCAACATTAAACTGATGACTTGATAGAAAGTCACATAATCAACAACTCAGAACTGGGTCTGTGCCAGGTTGCATTCAATTTAAATACATATTAAGATTTCTTGTAGAATCTCTACCTTAACAGCAACTCAAGAATGAGTTTAAGCAGTAACAGTGTTTCCAAAAGTATATTTTATAGAATACCAGGTATTACACGAGAAATTACATTATATTAAGTAAAAAAGAAATGCTGGATTGAACAATATTTTCTTTATTCAGGGTCTATGATATGCAAATATGCAATGTGCTTATTTATTGGAAAACAGAGTATTTGGAGCAGTCTTCCTAATTCATTTGACCACAGAACCTTTCCAATCCAATATATTTTGGAAAATACTACCTTATAAAAACACAGCTGTTTCAGCTCTTCTTCTTAATATGCACATGACTCGATCAAGGCTATCTCTAAGTTTAATATATACTTTTTCTTGTACATTTGTATCATATAAATTTGAAATACTAACATACTGAAATATTGAGTCTCATTTTATGTGTAAAACTTAAAAGGTAAATTCCAAACACTTAAAAATATCCATCAAGAAGTATAATGGCAAAGCCAACAAGCCACATACATGAGTTGCTATATCGAAAAAGCACTGCAGCTGGTTCACAGAATAACAACTCTGCCCATTCTTCTCAGGGCTAGTGTTGGATTTTACACTTTTTGAATTATCCAAGATATTAAAGAACATATCCCAAACATAAAATGCAACCACAAGAAATAAAAAAAGATACACATTATCCTATGTGATGGTGCCATAATTTTACCATTAAAATTTTGCCATTTGAAGAAGTGCCTTCAAATGACAATTAGGCCTCTATTCTAATCTTAACCAAAAAAGTGGTTTGATAGAAATTCTGAAAATTCATTGTCTTATTCCAGTGCCCAGATAATGGTCTTAAATACCATCTTCCACTTAAAGGAGCCAGAGCTTCTTGAAGAAATGGCTGATTCCAGGTCTGGGTCTGGAAATATCTTGCCATATTAGACCAATCAAGAAAATTACCAAAGACTAAGGTAAAAAGGATTCAGAAACCAACTTGAAGAGGTTCCTACTAGCCAATTTGAGCACCAATAATGATAATAACTGCAAGGAACTTAAATATAGATATGTTTAAGCTCATTAGTTTATAACAATACAGAAAAGAGAATAGAGAGAGGAAGGAAGAAGGAAGAGAGGTTAACTCATATCAGAGGAACTCTTGTGACCAATTCACTTTTTGAAAGCCTAAAACTAAAGAGAAAGACTTAGGCATTTATCTTGCCTTTATAAACTCTACTATTGAATGAATAGCCAAATATTAGATGAGCACAAGCTTCTCTCTACAAAGTACTCTAATATAAGATAGAAGTGACAGAAATGTCACCATTATGAAACTTTAAATGAATTAATGGACCTAGACCAGATTTTTTTTCAATTTCGATTTTACTGACATTTTGGGCCTGATAATTCTGTTATAGGGGTTGTCCTATGCATTGTAGGAAGCAGTACCCGTCCTTTCCCCACTAGCCGCCTATAGCACTCCACCTTTCCCAGTTGTGACAACCAAAAATGTCTCCAGACATTGACAAATATCCCCTGGGGGGCAAATCACCCCTGCATGAGACTCACTCATCTACACATTGCACACCAATGGCTGCTAACTTCACATAAAAAAGTAACCAGACATTATGTGCCTCCTTAATAGAATATATCACCACCTAACAAAGCAGTCTTGCCTCTCCCCATCAGCAAAAATAAATCTCAATTTAATCAAGCTCCTATTTCCGACTACAGGAAATACCAAAGACAGAAGAAAAATTAAATGACACAAGGATGCAATCAGCGATATCTACTCTATTAGGAAAAGTCTATAGAACAAACTCAGTTTCTTTAAGAAATAATTTACAAGAGAAAAACAGAGAGAATCTATATATTAAGAGATTTAAGAGAAACATCATCTAATAGCAGTATGTGGACTTTATTTTTATCTCAATTCCAATAAACTGCAAAAAAAAATTTTTAATGAAAATTTTAAATGAAATTTCACTTTTTGGGATATTTCCAAAGGAAACAAAAACACTGTCAAAGAAGTATCTGCATTCCCATGTTCACATAACAGCATTATCTACAAAAGCCAAGACATGTAAATAACCTAAGTGATTGTCAATGGATAAAACAGATAAAGAAGTTCTGGTATATATATACACAATGGGATATTATTCAACCAGAAAAAAGGAAGGAAATCTTGCCATTTGCGATAATACAGATGGACCCTGAAGACTTTACGCTAAATGAAATAAGTCAAGATACGGAAAGATAAAAACTGTATGATCTCATTATATGTGGAATCCTAAAACAAGCAAGCAAACAAACTGAAAAAGTGATCAGATTTGTGGCTACCAGTTATAAGATAAATAAGAACGGGGGTGTAATGGACAACATGATAACAATAGTTAACACTGTTGTATGACATAGCTGAAAACAAAGTAAATCCTAAGAATTCTCAACACAAGGAACAAACTTTTTTTTTTTTTTGCATCTGTACAAAATGATAGATGTCAACTAAATTTATGGCAATCATTTCACAATATACATATCAAATCATTATGCTTAAATTTATACAGTGCTATATGTCAATTATATCTTAAAACTGGAAAAAAAATTAGTTAACCCAGATAATATGCTGTCATATTTTCTTGGTTCCAATAAAGAGCTTTGCAAGCTATTGGTTTCCCGCCAACCTAAGCAAAAGAGAAAGTAAATTCCAAAAGGGAATATAAACATGCCATGGAACCCTCACTTTCCATTAAGTATACATGCACTCACATTTTTTGTTTTTGGCAAGCTTCTCCAAATCCCTTTAAAAAGGAACTTAAAACACAATATATAATTTGGTCAACATGTAATTACCATTCAGAGACTTTTTCATGTCAACTTGTATTGAAAGAGTAACACAATAATTGAGCCCATGTATTTAATCTGCAAGTAATTTTTAATCTCCCTCCAGGTCAAAGAGATAGTCATGTCACACTGTAACCTTATTGTGACAAACATATTATTTTATATATTGTCACCAAAAATAAAACCCTACTTACCTTTCAAGTTCTTCCTAAACCATAGAAAAAGATTCGAATCAGCATTTCAAAAGGAGGATATGGAAAGTGACCACAACCCATTCTATACAAAGACTATTTTTAAAACTACACACATATATTCCTTAGTCCCCCAAATTATATTTACCTCACACTAATCAAAGAGCAACATAAAATTCACTAAAGAATAAAATCAGATAGATTTTGGCCAAAATCAATACTGAGCAAAATATCTGGGAATAGCCAAACTTGGATTAAACTGCTTATTCATGTAAATTAAATCTTTTATTCCTAGATTGATGGTATATATAATTGCCAAAAAGCAGTTTATGTCTGTTACTTAATTATATTTATGTATACACCTGTCTCATTCTAAAAAAGATCTTGAAGTAGTTTAAGTGACAAAATTTAGTAGAATTTAATGATTATTCTACATCATCCAACTTCTACCTAAAAGTAGTTTTCTTCTTGAACAAACATGTTATAAAGTAAGAAGAGTATAACAAGTTTTTTTAAAAAACTTAACCACTGGGTCTTACAAAGGAGAATAGCCATTATTATACACCCCACAAAGGTAGAAACAAAAAGAAAAATTAATTTCAAGCAACTTTGAGAAATTGTTAACAGCTTCAAATTTTCTAACATTTTCCTACTTACCAATTTATCATTTTCATTGGGCATTTCAAAAACACATCTCAATTTAGAATCCATTAAATCATCAGGTTTTGCCTCTTTCCACTAAAAAGACAAAATCAAACATGAGATAGAAGAGGTATGACCATGACAAACAGGTTTCACCTCAAAAGACACCTCAAAAAGATTAGTGTAGCTGCTTGGTGTAGGAGTGGTGTCTCTGGCTCCGCCAGGATGCAATGCTGCCCTCTGAACTGATCACCCTGCCATAGTTATCTGGTAATGCCACAGAACTTTTCATACAATTCTAAAAAGGGCTACTATCATCATCCATTAAAATCATACTAACATCTCTACAGAGATTACAAGATTTTCGTACTAGCATTTCTAAATTGTTTCTTTGAAATACTTCTTTTATCCTTGAAATAAAGTTAGGATTATCGGTAATAAACAGATTTGTGGACTTTTTAAAATTAGGTTTCTCAATTGAGAACTAAACAAATCCCATAGTTTAAACAAAATTCCCCAAAATAAATTCTGTTCGCTTGACTTCCATACTTACCACAGCTTCCATATCTGAAGTGTTTGGCGGAGCAAAAATTGTTTGTACCATAAACTTGTGTTTGCTTTTTTCATTGGGATCATAGTCAAAAGGCTGTAGCATTACTGAAAATAAAAAAAGGACATATTACATAGTCTTCTGCGTTTCTTTGCTTCTTGTTATTATCTCATTCACTAATATGCAAATTTAAAGAAAATCAGGAAGTGTTCAAGGAACCAAACACTGGATTATTTACATTAAGGACCCAGAATCAATTTTATATTTTCTATTATTTTTAAACTGTCCATTTTTGTGATTTTCTAAGTATTTAACAACCCACAAAATAAACAGCTATTTAAAAAAAATAAATATCAAGTTTAAGCTTGGAAATTTCCAAAACTTTGCCAACATTAACTATTTTAATTCCTGAAAGCTTTGATTAAATCTAGTTAAGTTGTCAATTAAAACCAGTTAGAAATTTAGGCTTAATTTTAATAGTGATAGTATCTCTTGAAATTAAACAACTAGCATATTTAAAGGAGAAATTTTAAGTAACTTAAAAACTCACTACCACATATTAGTGTTCCAATATAACTAATTTTTTTTAAAATAAATTTTAAACAAACACCCATTCAAGAAGAGTTTATCAATCTGTTTAAATGTGATTCTAAAACAAAGTATATAAGGAAACCATACAGCCTCATGATTTCCAGAATTTTTCTAGCAGCTAATAATTGCATTCAAATTTTCTCTAATCATTCATTCAGTAGCCTATAAAAAGAGGGTTTTTATAGGGCTCATGTGGTTAATAAATCATGCTAAATTTTGTAATATAAATCTAATAACAAATCAGCAATTATACAAAATATGTATATAATATTGTAGAAATTATTCACCTGTTAATACTTAGATTATTTCTGATATACAAACACACACACATATGCCTATCAACATGTTCAAAAAGACAAATGCAATTAAGCAAATGAGAAACATCAATTACATAAGAAAATATTATTTCTAAGTTATGTCTGAGAAGTCCATCAACTTCCACCATAGTTAAAAAAAAAATTTTTTAAGAGCCAAATACAAAGCAGCCGAAAACAGGATAAACGCCCACGATCCAGATAAAGCACAATAAATTTCCTTCCCTGAGCAATCATTATAGGTTAATCAGTAGGCCTGAGAGGTTCACCCATAATTAAAATACATTCTCATACTTGCTTCCTATTTCTCAGCTATATTTGATGATATCTTTAGGGAGTATATCTTGAGAAGTCTGAGGGAAGAAAGAAGCATTTTATAGAAGGCGTTAATCATGGCAATAGCACAGACTTCACCGCAAGAGTAAATATGTAAGAAATCAAGTATATACTCTTTGAACTACAAGGAACTGCTGATATTTATAATGAAAAGCATAAACACTCATCTAATTTTATACAATCAGCAAAAAAGAGGCACTGTATATTTTAAGCAAAAGATTTAGTATACTTCTATAGCTGCAGGCAATATGTAACAATAGCTAGAGATCCAAGTAAGAATGATCAATCACAACAATAATATATTTCAAAGATAAAATAATAAGGGCAGAGAATGTGGTAGTGAGCTGTAGAATAGATACAAAATTTGAAATTGACAATTGCTTATAAATCAACCACGTAACACCCAATCATAACATAAGGGCGAGAAATTTTCTGCAACGATTTGCATACAGTAAGAGAAGAGAAGGACATCATTAAAGGCAAAGCCAGAATAATTTAAAAGCTTTTCTCCCCCTCCAGATGAAACCCTATTAATTAAAACCAAATTAAACATAATCATAAAATGTCAAAAGTCAAAACTGCATAAATTCAGAATATGATTTTCTACCTGAAACAGTCACAGTCAACCCAGGGTCAATAATTCCACTGTTGGGTCTCACACAGTACCGACGAGGTGCTGTAGTCTTCACTTTGAAACATACTTTTCTATCCGATGGATTTCGCAATTTAAGGTTTGTAGTGACTACATCTGTGAAGGGGCCTGCAAGGTTTAGAAACCAAACACAAACAAAAATATTTTTAATTGGATTCTGGCACACACAAAAAGCAAAATTAAAAATTAAATTACAACCTCAATTTTCTTTAAAGTATGTATTAAAGTCTGTGGACAAAAATATGCCAAATGATTAACAGTACTTTTCCCCAAGTGGTAGACCTAGAAATGAGTTTTACTTTCTTCTTCAGTCCTTACTATATTTTACAAAATCTCTACATGAGCTTGTGTTACTTCTAGCAAATAAAAGTATTTTAAAGCTTCAATTTATGAAATAAGTCCACAATTAAATTTATAGTAGGTCAATACCACAAAATTGAAAAGATCAGGATTTTCCAATGGTCTGCAAATCACTGCCAATCTTCAATTCATTTTACTAAACTACAAAAATCCCTACATCTCGAAGACACTACATCCAACAAAAACAGTGCTGCTCTTGCTTTACCCCAATTAGGTTTGAATCATTCACTGACTTATTTAGTGTTTATGATGACCACTGTTTCAAATGCTCTAGATACAATGTTTTTCGGCTTGGTTCTTCAATCGAACAACATAAAATGGCAAAACAACCCCCAAAAAGGTGATCCAGTCCTGCCTGAATTAAATAAGTCCAAACCATTTTTTTAAAGTTGGGGAAAGGAAATATGATAAGCATTTTTGCTCTCGGCTAAAGAAAAGCCTAAAGACAGAATATGCAGATTAATTTAGACAATATATATCTATTAATCTGGAGACAAAGGACAAACTTAAAGATATGTTTCAATGGGAAGCGATAACCACACACTTCTAACTAACCCAAATGCAATTTTAAATGGTTTTTAAAACAACTGGTTTTAGGTTGTCATTTTTAAAAAAAGCTACAATACTGAAATCAAAGACTATTATAAAGGTTATCTTTCTTTCGTTTAAATAAACCACTATGTCTTTTAAAACTTTAAAACAAACAGATCTGCCTAAAGAAATGATAGGAAGAGAAATAGATTTCTAATCAAAGGCCATTAAAAGGTACTTATTCCAAGTCCTAGGAAGTGAAATTATTTTATCCTATGATTAAAATTTTTGAGTTGTAAAATATTTTCTAACAAAGAATAGGAACTGGGATGAGAGAACAGAGATAGAAATGAGATTAGGAGAAAACTTATATATAAAGGCAGAGAACTAGTTACAGAAAAGAAAAAATTTTAATGCAAAATAGCCATTTAAATCAACAGGTATGCATGTCATTTGGGGGGGGCAGTATATAGACAATGTACATATGAAGTACAATCTTTCTAACAGCTTGCTTTTAATTACATGGTCAAGTTAATCATTCAATCTGAATATTATTTTACACCCTTTGCTTCTTCAATCCCAACTACTTGCTTTTTGTTGAGCAGCTGATTAACAACTCCACCATACATTGGCATATGAAAGTAAAGGAGAAAACTTCAATCTGTCCATTTGCCACGAGTCCACAAAATGATTAGCTATCGACACATTTTAAACTACTGATAAAACTAGGAGTAAGACATAGATTCCATTTAATATTCTCAAAGTCCATAAATTACTAAAGAGAACTGAAAATGTGCAAATTTTTATAGGACTATTTCAACTAAGGTATGACAAAAGAAACATTTCACAAATTTTTAATTTTGAGCAACCCTGTATTTTCATACCATAATCATGTGTTTAATTTTTAAATTTTAAATTGAATTTTTCTAACTCTCCCCAACTTTAGAGAATACCAATTATCCAAAATAAGGTAAAATAACAAGATTTTTTTTTTTTTTTGAAACTGATTTAGAAAATAAAACGTGTCAATTTTTATCAAAACATGAATTCTGGAATAATACTTAAACATTATATTGCCTAGCAGGCAATAGATTGTGGTCCTTCTAGACATAAAAATGCAAACTACCTGGAGTTGAATATGTCACAACAAAAAAACTCCAATTTAAAACAAAATTTTTAACTGGATACATTAATCTTATCAGTACAATGTAAAATAACCTATAATAAACCCACCTAACAAATTAAATTGAGATTTTCTGCTCCACTGTGTCCCTCTAACCAAGCCTCTCTAAAGGTTGCTCCCAGCAGACAGTTCAGAGTCTGAGCTCATCTTCCTGGTTAAAATGGAAAAGCAGCAAGTACTGATAATCATTAATTAGCACAAGAATTACCAGATCTAATAGCTCTAAGAGGTCCTTCAAAGAAACAACTGGTCCACTCTTGTGGGTCACAGAATCCTTTGAGAATCTGAGGAAAGTGATATACTACCCGAGAAAAACATACATAGGTGAATATTCCAAATAATTTTACACTGAATTTGGGGGGGAGGGGAAGGAGTGGCAAAGGTGAGATAGGGAGATTAGGTTGTGGGTGGGAGGGAGACATGGACCACTGAAGCCTGCAGGTTAAAAAGACCTGGTAAAATCTACCTTTACAGACTCTCGAAAACAAAGGGAAGATATAAATTATATAATTTGCTAAAAAACAATCCTAAATCCCAGGTCCCTGTTAGGTATTTTTGCCTGACATTATGACTGAGTGGTGCTATTGCTGAGGGGGGAAAGAGGAACAAAATATTAGTTCTGCAATGCCAAGGCAGACCCATACATTGAAGTAATATGCCCCTATCCCACCAAATTTTCAAATACCCCTCCAAAAATTCATATTGATAAAAAAATCTCTTTTTCAGAAATACATCTACTGAGTAAAACAGAAAAAAATTGTTCTTTCCTCTAATACTTTAAAAAGTGAGTTTACCGTTACAGAAATTATTCCACCAACAGCAGCATCACTCATGATACTTGAATCACCACAACGTATCTGTCAGCAGACACCTGTAGGTGACACATTCACATGTGTCTACCTATATACATAAATATTATTTTGCCCTTATTTCAAAATGTTAAAGAAAACCAATCAGCCTTCTATTCAGATAACTCTTGCCTTATTTCTCTTAAATACAAGCTTATCTGTTAGTAAGTTGGTAGGTTACAAGCACCTGGCTAACTTTACTCTATCTTCCAGCACAGTCATGCCCAAACATTTACACAATGAAATGTATATCTCATTACGAATTTACTATTTTATTTCTCCTTCATATTATAGTTAGGGAATTATATTGAAATTTTAATTATGTACATTGGCAGATAATTTTATATGAATTTCATTTTGAGATAGTAAAGAATACAAAATATAAAATATTTAAATGAGATATTGTGTTAAATAGAGTTAAAAACCAATAATCTCCTGCTTTTTTAATTGAAAATGTAGCCTCTGCAATGCTTAGGTGGTTAAACCATAAGCAAAACAAGTAAATGGTTACGATAAAAGCCGGGATAGGGGTTAACTAAATAAGAAAAGAAGAAGGTAGTACTGGGAGAGGAAGGTAGTACTGGGAGCTGGCCAAGTTCTAGATCTTGTCATGAGCAGTAATTACATGAGCAATTCCTTTTGATAATTCCTTAAACTGTACATATTTTTCCTTTATGCAAAACAATAAAAGTTTTTATATTTTTAGAAAAGTTGATCTGTGATGTAACCTTAAAAAAAAAAAAACAGAAAAAGTGTGGAAAGCAAGAATTTTTTCCCATTGTATTGAGATGAAAAGCAGTTTTGATGAGAGAGTGAACATTTGAAGCAATTTATATAGCAAATAAATATTCATGTTTTGAGAATTTATAAAACTCAATCCCTATAAATGAAGAAAATCCTGTCATTTGCCCAGTATAATTTCTTAGTTTAACAGTTACAAACAATTACTGCATTTTAAGATTAAAGTATACCAGTCACCAACGACAAGTACCACCTAATATATACTTTCTATGTTAGAGATGAAATTACACTGTTGATATGTAAATATTTCATTTAAAACAAGAAAAGTCCACATAATTCAAGTTACATTTATTTGCACTCTTTTACTGGGGGAAAAAACTACAATCCAAATAACTTTACCTTTTATTACATGGGTTGTCCTTTAAACAGCCATATTTTCTGTCACTAAGTATTCTGACCTAACTCTACTACAATGATCATTGCCAGTAAGCCAAAATCCTATTCCCAGTCCCAAATCCTAACAGACAGAAATGCAACATACACAAACATGGCCTCTGTATAAAAGCGTTTGGAAACACGTTTGAAAAAACTTGAAACCTGAAATTTCGAAAAAATAGAAAAAGTTTAGGGCAGCTCACCCAGAAGGATGTCTCAGTGGGACTGGCCTGACTCCTCTGCTAAAAATATATTTCTGGCATAAAATGCCCTTTATATTCAACTTGTATATCTAAATTCTAGCATTCAGAGCAATGATTTCCTATTAAATAGTGAGACCTTTATTCGCCAAACCTCTAAACAGCTAAAAGCAGAACCACTCTGACTAAACAATTTAAATGGTTATTCATCCATCCACATTTTGATGTGAATTGCTATTAAAGTTTTCTTGAAATGCCTAGCCTAGATGCAAAGAAAACTGACTTGGGGGAGAGAAAGGAAGAGATCAGCTTTCCTCCAAACATTTTGAAAAATTTCAGAGAGAAATTGAAATAACTGTATAGTGAACAATCACATACCCATTTACCTAGATTCTACAACATTTTGTTCTATTTACTTTGAGATATAATATCTATTTACCCATCTGTGCATTCATCTATCCATCTTATCTTTGATACATTCTAAAGTAAGTTGACAACATCACTACACTCACTCCTAAACATCTCAGCAAGCATATCAACTTGAGTTCAATATTTGCGTACTGTGAAGAGAATCAAATTTTTATTCAAGATAAGTAGTAGTATATAACATGCAGCATTTCCAAAACAGAAAAGTCCTCAGAGATGCAGCTTAAGACTTAACAGGCAATGCACAAGAACATAAATTCATGAACTCTGTGATATCCATCTAAGCTAGCTACCCAGAGGCCTATAGGGAGACAATTCTCAATGGGTCTCTAGCATTTCTGCATGTTTTGAAAGTGGAGGCACCAGAGGCTTTTATCCAGGCTA